GACTCCTCCCTGCAAACCAGCAGCATCCCCTCTTCACCCCCAGAGGGCACGGGAAAGCATCACCCAGGCTGGCGCGTCCCCAGGACAGAGACTCCCTCCTCATCAGCCGGCACCGGTGCCTACCGTGCACTGAGATGGATGGGGCCGAACGCTGCTCCCAGGACACACATGGGCAGCCCCGTCTGGACAGCTTCAAACCACTTCACCACAACCTCACCTGAAAGGGAGTAGGGAGGCCATGAGTGGGCAGGGTGCCCGGGTCGAGGGCCAGCCAGGGTCGCATGGTCCTGCAACGCAGGCTGCGTAATCTGCCCCTTCCCGAGACCAGCTGCGCACCCATCCCCTCCGCCTCCATGGCAGGACTCAGGAATGCTTCCCAAGCCTGGCCATGGCCTCATCCTGTGCCAGGATGAGTCTCGTCATTCACCACCCACCCGAGAAGGACAGCCCAGGGGAGCAGCACCCCACAGTCGATGCCCCGCAAGCTTGGGAAACACCTCCGGGGCAGGCTGTGTCCCTGCAGATCTTTAGCAATGCAATTGCTGAAGCCTGATCCCCTGCACAGCTCTCCCCACTTCTCAGCACGGGACAGACCTTTTACAAATGCCTCCAGGTCTCAGCCAAAGCCTGCATAGGAGACCTGCCGTGCCAGTTCCCGCAGGCTCACCAGCAAGGCTCGACTTGCAACTTGCTATTGAGTCAGACGCAAAACGAGGGCAAAGGACACAGGGATGCACAGATAAGGAGCAACCAGGAATCCCCCATTTCTGCCTTCGCTCAGAGCTTGCGAAACATCCCTCTCTCAGTGCCACCCTACCCGCCAGGCAGCAAACACCCATCCACCCACCCAGCAGCTGCCCGCACCGAGGGCTCAGGCAGAGCATCTCCCAGCAGGGGAAAGGTGACATCCTGCAGGCTCTCGGTCACCACAGAGCCAGCAATGCAGGACAGTGACGATGCAAACCTCCCCGCACACCTCCCTGGGCTGAGGACTGGGGAGTCCGACCGGCCCAGCCCTCTCCGTTCCTGGGAGAGGTGGCTGAGCACCATCAGTGGGGTTTGGCAGCGCAGCCCTCTGAGCCCGCTGCTGCTCACCTAGCATGTTTGTTGGCATGCCCAGGAGGGTGTGCATCATGTCGTGGACTTCTCGGTACCGCTGGATCACGTACGCCAGCTCTTCATCATCAACAAACTTGGGTGGCATCCGCGTGTCTGGAGAAACCTTCTGCAAATCCAAAGAGGTCCAATTCAGCCCCTTCCAAACCTCAAGTTTCTGGTCTTGTTCTTTAATGAACAGAAATACATGGCCCCCTCCATCAGCGCATCTCCCAGCCCGTAATGATGGCGGTCAGTGTAATTTACATAGACGAAAACCAAGGACTGCGCAGCACTGGTGACACATCCAGCATCGTCCAACGCCCAGCATTCCATCCTGTCCCCACAACTCCCTCTTATTCCCGGAGGGTTCCCCACAGGTTCCTCCATGGCTCCAACCTCCCTCTAAAGTGCATCCATGCTCCTGGCATGGGGTTCAACTACAGCTGCTCGCACCCCACAAAGCCCCACACTCACATTGTCCTCCAAGAACCGGACGTACTCTCGGCCCAGCGAGCCATCCGGCAGCCCCCGCAGCCTGGCCATGTCCAGGGTGGAGAGACGGATGCGAGGCCGTTCCCTGAAAGTGAAACACAGGTCAGTGAGTCTCCCACCGAAACACACAGCAGGGGGTCCTGGAGAAAAGGAGCCCCTGAAAACCCCCATCCCCTGCCTCTGCCCTTCCCAAGCATTTTCCTTGCACGATCCTGGCTGCTCGCTGCAGGGATAGCACCATCCTTATTTCTGTTGCTGAGGCGGGACACAAATTGCTTAAAGGATCTACCTGAAGCCTTGGCAATAAAAGAGCTCTCATCTTGCGCTCCTGTAAAACTCTGGATGGTAAAACACTGGTGTGCTCTGCACTGAAATGCTGCTGCGCGGGCTGCTGGCCAGGCACAGCTCTCAGCAACAGCTGGCCCTGGGGGAGAGAGCTCTTTAGTGTCCCTGCAAAGCAGCCACAGCTTCAAAGGAACAACCCTAAAGAGGGGAGAGAATTTGTTCTAAACACAGGTTTAATTTCTCTCCAGCTCAGGCTTTCACCACCAGCCACGTGGCAGCCATGCACAGAAAGGTCTCCTCTCCAGGTTGTTGGCAAACAGGTGCCTCACAGCCCTGAAACTAAACAAAAACCCTTTTATTTCCATGCACAGGATAAACTCTTCCCATGATAAAAGCCCTGCAGTGGATCCAGGAGCTGCTCAGCTCCTGGAGGGGAGGTGCCAGGGAGATAAGCAGGACTCGCCGCAGCTTTGCCCTGGCTGCAGATGCAGGGACCTCAGCAGCTTGGGCGATTAAAAAAGAAAGACTTGCGTGCACAAATCAGACCACTGCAAATCCCTGCAATACCACAGGGCAAGAAGCAGGTGGGGACATCTCTCCCTTTGCTGTCCCTTCTCCCTGGGCAGTTCCTCTGGGGCTCAGCCCCATCCTGGTGCTCCGTGTGCTTTGCCAGGTCAGCACATGGAGCCAGGATCAGGCTACTCTGCACAAACATATGGCAAAAGGCAGCTTTTCCCCAGCCTCTACGTGGTACATCCCAAGCAATACACAAGCAGCAGGTGTGACACATAACAAGGAGCAGGGAGAAGGCAAGCAAATAAGCAGAAAGATCTTGGTTAATAAGAGGCTCATGAAGTCCCTCCTGGTCCTCAGCCTTGCTGCGCTCGACAAGTCCCTGCAGACACGGAAGCAAAAGTGATCAAGTCTTAACAAGGAAGACAAGAGACGTGGCCTCATTTCACAGCTTGGGGAGATGCTGTGGGTGTTGGGAAAGAAAATACAGAGGTGTCTAAGGAGGAGGCAGACCAGCAGAGACAAAGTCTCCAATGCAAGGAGATACAGCAGCAGGCGCAGGGGAGAAATCCATGGACGTGGTGGGTTTTCATTGCTGCTCAGCATCCACGTCCATGGATTTCTCCCCTGCGCCTGCTGCTGCGTCTCCTTGCGTTGGCACCTGCCAGTTCCAGCAGCGAAGCAGAACAGACAGACAGCAATGCCTGAAATAGGGCTGGGCCCAGCAGCTGCTGTGCTCTTGCCCTCAGACTTGCCACAGGGCTCTTGTGAGCCTTAAAAATAAAGTAAAATAAACAACCTGGAGTGTTAGAGCTAACAAAAATGCTTGTGCTGCTTTCAAGCCGAAGGAGCGCAGGGCTCTCCCTTCACGGGGCCCAAGGAATGTGCTTGGCCTTTGTGTCTCCCTCCCCACCATGAACCACACGGCAAGGGAGGGGAGGATGCGGAAGGACGCACTGGAGGATGCGGTAACCTTCAGGGTGATGTTTCATCTTGTCTCGCAGGTTGGGCAGGGCAAGGCAGCCCGTGGTCTCCCCGAGGACTGCCACCATGTCTGAAAGAGAGACCAGAGAATGACCCAAGAGCGGCTTTCACAACACTCTGCTGTCCTCGGTCAGCAGATGAAGAAATGAAGAAATGGGGCAACAAATCCCTTGGCCAGGAGCAGGCAGGAAGCCTGTGGCAAAGCAGGGACCCCACAAACCATGGATCTTCAGCCTCGGGGCTGCTCTGCCCTGTGTCACCCACAGGGATGTAGGAGCAGGTGCGAGGCCTGGGGGGCCAAGGAGGGATGAGATGGGGCCGGGTGGCATCATAGGGGGTCAGGAGGAGATCACTGAGGGGTGTTTGGGGTTCCTCAGCCCCTCTCTTCCACAGCCACCTGCCCTGGGCCCGGTCTCAGCCCTGCGCTTCCCCGTTACTACACGTCTCACGCAACAGGAGAAATCAATCCCCTGAGAAACCCCCAGGAGACACGGGGCAGGATTTGGTGGAGGTTAACGAAAACCCTAGGTGGAACGAGCTCCCCTCGCTCGCTTACCGTGCCTGTAGGGGTCATAGAGAGCCATGAA